CTGAGGGTGGTGAGCCCCTGGCCCAGGCTGCCCAGAGAGGTGGTCGCTGCCCCATCCCTGGAACCATTCCAGGGGAGGTTGGCCGGGGCTCTGAGCACCCTGCTCTAGGTGCAGAGTCCCTGCTCAGGGCAGGGGGCTGGACTAGAGGAGCTTTAAAGGTCCCTTCCAATCAAAACCATCCCATAATTCTACGATTCTCATCTGTGACACCAGCCACAGGAACAGAGCAGCAGCAGCAGAGGCGGCTCGGCAGCGCGGTACCTGAATCCCTGCGTGGCTGCACAGGTAGAAGTCGAACTCAAAGGGGTGGGTGATATTTGTATCCACTGTTGTTCCTGCTGGGATGTTCCAGCTCTTCCCAATCTACAGGGAACAGAAAGAGAGATTCAAGCACTGCAGAGTTTGGTTCTTTGCAGCTGTAACACACCTGCCCTGCAGCAGGGCCCCAGTGTGGGCTCCTCATCTCAGTGTGAGGGCACCACGCAGAGCTGCTCCCCCAGTGCCTGTTAAGGGGGCAGAGAAGCAGCTCACCCTGCTCTGCTCCCTGCCCAAACAGGCTTGCTGGAATTCTCCACAAGCACCAACACCAGGCACGACATGGAGAGGGAGCAGACAGCATCAGAAGGAAAGCAGGCAGGGTGAGGGCTGGGCACTGGCCCATCCCACTGCAGAAATGAGGATTGAGTGAACAAAACTCCACAGATCTCTGCAGAGTGTACGCTGGAGTCTCTGCCATGAGATACTGGAGCTTTTTGCATCCTGATCAAAAACTGTCCTCGCTTCCCAAGATTAAATCTTCATGCTTAGGTAGAGCCAGAGTCTGGTCAGACCAGATCTAACCACTGAATTTGCACCAAGTCTTGGAAAAGCCTCAGCAACCAATGCTGCTGCACAGGGCACACAAACGAGCTGTGAGCAAGCAAGGGGTTACTCAGCCCAGCACGTCAGCGGCTACAGCCATCACCAAAACAACAGATGTTTCCAAGCTGAAGAGGCTATTTCAAGAGTCACCAGGACCATCAGCACCCAGTAACTCATAACAACAGCAAACAGCTGTCTGGGTTTCCACAAGCAGCCTAATCTGCACAGACACCGGAATCAACCCCGCAGCACGTTCCATTCAAGAGCGAGCTCTGCCTGCCAGCGGCGAGTGTTCCCCTTGGCAAAGTCAGGGCTGGCTCTTCCCAAAACCCGGGGGTGAACCAGCTGCCTGCAGCCCCTGCCCCCACAGCACTCACCCTCTCGTTCTTGTCTGCGCAGAAGAGACGGGTGTGGTGCCTCTTCTGGACCACGATGTAGGTGATGCCAGGCTGATAATCCTTTTCCAGTTTGATGCAGGCGTCTCGGATCGCTAGGAGCTCATAGTGAAGGATCTGCAGAGACAAGGGCACTGGAGTGAGGGACACGGTGGCACCCAGCTGTCCCCGTGCACCCTCGGGGGACCCGTGGGAGCCGGTGCAGCCACGCCGGCCGATGGGGATCTGGGGGAAATCCAGGGGGCCCTCACCTGTGGGAGCTGCCCCTCGGGAACCCCGTCGCGATAGAAGATGATCCTGGTGGGTTTGAAGCGGGTGGATTTGTAGAACTGGATGAGCAGCTCCCTCACCATGTAGGACAAGTCCTCGATGATCTCCTGGCGGGGCCGCTGCACGCGCACCGTGGCGCAGTACCGGCTGGGGTGGGCATCCATGCTGCCCACCACCTGCAGGGACAGATGGGCCAGGGCCCCACGTTACAGCGGGACGGGCAGAGGGGACGTGGGACACTCCTGGCCAGGACAGACCTACTCCCAACACCCACAGCTGGCAGCAGGCAGAGCGCCCGAGCACAGGGCGCAGGCAACTAGAACCCAAAAGGGGCATCGCTGGTGGCGGCCATGTCCCCGATTCACAAAGGACTGTATGACCCCAAACCCTGCTCTGCTGTTCTCATCAGGGCAATGACACCCCCAGGGGATGAACCCCACCCTGCAGTTGCAACGTGGCTGCTGTAACACATCCTGCTGAGCTCTCAACATAGCCCCAGGGAGCTCTGCCCTGCTCCTCACATCACTGCCCTGCCCACCCTCAGCTGCCTGGAGACCCTCTGCCCAAAAGGCAACTAAATCAGCCCATAGAATCACAGACTGGTTTGGGCTGGGAGGGACCTTTAGGGTCCTCTGGTCCAACACCCCGC